CACATGCAGCCCTGCCCAGCCCTGCCACCACACTGCGGGCAGCGACGGCCGACTCCTCCGCAGCCACGCTAACGCTGTAGGCACAGAAGCCCAGGGATGCTGAGGACAAGGGAGAGCTGAACTGGCAGCGAGGGCTGCCCAGGACAGGTCTCACCAGCAGATGGACCGAGGGGCCACTCTTGGCCTGTGCATCCCCATAGGCTTCCCTGTCCGTGGTGGCGGTGACCCCAGCGTTGTGCAACAGCGTGTCTGCCACGAGGGCCAGTAAGTCCGCAAGAGGAAGCGAAGCTATAAATACATCCCTACGAGGCACACCGGCAGCAGGGGAGCCGAGAAGGGGACGGCCGGACCACAGCAAGCCTGGCTCTGGGGTGGCTCCTGCAGCTTTGCTCCCACCTGGGTAGCATCCAGGTCAGACCTGCCCGGGGGCAGCTGTCGAGGAAGAAATCCGCCCATCCATCCATCCGCCCATCATTCACTCACCCAACTATCCATCCATCCATCCATCCATCCATCCATCCATCCACCCACCCATTCATCCGCCCCTGCTGGGGGACTCCCCCCCAGCCTGGGGGCTGTGCTCACCAACAAGAGGGCCTCCAGCTGGTTGATGTAGATCTCCTCGCTGGCAAGGAAACCGGAGAGCACCAGCTTCCGCATCTCCAGGCCTTTGCCAGCATCTCGCTCACCCTGTGTGACACAGCAAGGAACCCGGGTGAGCCAGCAACCGGCACAGGAGGAAACCCCTCAGCCCAGCCCCAGGATCCCCACGTGGGCACGTGTGCCCACTAGCATCAGGGAAGCTCCACGACAAGGGCTGGGCACGTGCCCACCAGGCAGCACAGCCAGGCTGAAGCCAGCTGGGAAGCCACGGGCTGTGCTGGCTTTGCTCCCTTCCCTGCTCCCGCTGGCCAGGAGCCTGGTGCCACTGGCAGAGTTCCAGGGTGGCGCGCGGCACAGCAGGACTCTCCCAGGGCAGAGTCCGGAGACGCCTGGTGAAATCATGCCCAACGGTGGATGGTGCTGCCACGTGATCCAGCACCACCCTTTTCCCCAGCTGAGGCTTTCCCAGGAAAGTGCCACGGCGGCTGTCACTGCCCGGTGGCACTGGGGCAGGTCCCGGGCTGTGCGGGGCTCAACTGCCGCTCCAGCCACCAGTGGCTCAGCCCGTGCCCATGTCTGCTGCAGCACCATGCTCCAGCGGCACAGCCCTCACGGCAGGGAGACAGGCAATGCTCAGCCGGGCTGGGAGGCTCCGGGGCCCCCAGCAAGGCTCTGCCAGCCCCCAGGCATGGACACCACAGCCCCTGGACTGCCTCAAATGCTCAGTGTGCCCACAGCACTGTTTGTCCTAAAAACCACACTCAGGAGCTAGGATTTGCCACCCAGGCCGGGACCAACGAGAACTACGGGAACATCAGTTGCTCTGGGCAATGAGCCATCTGGGACGGTTTGGGGGTATATTGGTCCTGTTTTGCCCCTGCCACTCCTGCCCCTTGCACCTGGCAGCTGCCAACACCTAGGGATGCACAGCCCCAGG